TTGGAGGGTAAATTGCATAAGAAGCCAGGGTTGTGGGTTTGGCGCTGGCTCCTTGAATAACTGTGAAGTGTTCTCACTTATATCAGCGCCGTCTATTGAATTGAGTTATTTTACAGAATGGACAGTCGTAAAATTTAATGATTATTGCATGTGCGGCAATGGCAGTAGGAGAGGGAGCTGTTTTAGGTAGTGGCTTTAAAAGTAGTAGTGCTTGGTTAGCAGGAAGCATTGTTCTTTCTTTCAGTAATGTTGGAAAATTAATAAAATTTAGAAGAGGCAACAGACTTCTTGCATGATATCTTGAGATTTGATATATATAATTCAACTCTGACTATTAATGGCACTTTCAGGCAAGCGCTTAATGTAGACAATTAGCTAATTGAGTTGATTAAGGGGCAGTCTAAAATGACCATTCTTTTTTTTTTCTTTATGGGCGTAAACACCGCTAACGTGGTTATAGCCGAGCAAGCGCACCAGTCGTTCTTCCTTTTCGCTTTTTGGCCAATTGGAGATTCAAGGTGTAGCCAGGTCCATCTCCATCTGGTCTCTCCAATCTAATGTAGGTCTTTCTCTATTTCCGCCGATGTCATGACCTAGCCAGCGTAGCCGATGTCTTTTAATTCGCTGAACTATGTCACGGTCGTCGTACAACGCGTACAGCTCATCGCTCCATCGAATGCGATACTAGCCGTTGCCAATGGGCAAATAACCATAAATTTTCCGCAGCTTTACTCTCGAGAACTCGTAACGTCGGTCCATCAATATAGCAGGACGGGAATAATGAGGGACTTTTTGAGTTTGTTCTCCGTTTGTCGAGAAAGGTTTTTATTTCTCAATTGCCTACTCAGTCCAAAGTTGCACCTGTTGATAAGAGTTATTCTGCGTTAAATTTTGAGGCTTGATTGTTGGTGTTATTACTGGTTCCAAGATAGACGAAATTATCTACGACTTCGAAGTTATGTGCCGTGGTTGTTATTAAAGGGAGGTTTCTCATCCGAGTTTGTTGTTTCCTTTTCATTGGGGGTGCTTTTTACGTGGCGGGTCTTACACCCGGCGTACAACCTTGAGGAGGGATAATTCGGCTTTCTGAACCAAATCCCATAGATACTTATCTACAATATATCAGATATCGGATGAATGTTTCCGAAATAGGATACCATAATAATATTTATTATAATTTGATGTATGCATTTGTGTAAACGTATGACGAATTTTTATGGTCGCTTAAAAATCGCTTGGGTTTGGACTCATAGTTGCTTAAGAAAGTTGGTCAGGATGTTCCGTTTAGCTTCCCTATAAATCAATACGCTCTAATGTACATATTTATAAGACTTAACGGTAATTTTGCTTAAAAAGTATTCACCACATTGCCCACACTTCTGGGAAAACATCTATTAGCCGACTGCGGGTGTTGTCTGTTTCCGTGGTGTAGTGGTTATCACATCCGCCTAACACGCGGAAGGCCCCCGGTTCGATCCCGGGCGGAAACAGTTATAAATTTTTTGTTTTTTATTATATATTACTAAAATGCATTTGCATGTTAATTATTTATAAGTAATTGTTTAACTGAAGATTTTTGTTTATAGTCTCTAGTTTTTCCTTTTAAATAGTGGTTTTAGTTCATTTTTAATTAATATTATTTATTTTGCAATGCTAATCATTATTGCTCCCAAGCATTATGTGAAAGCCTAAAAGTATGCTAAATTTTTTGTTTTCTTCGCAGATAAAAGTGTTTTTATGTACAGTATGTACTGAATAATCACTACCAAACTAAATTGTAATGATCAATACGTATGAAAAAATCGATTTAAATGTAAAGTTTTAACTAAAACACGTATTTTTTCACTTTAGATGTTCCTGTAAGGAGTTATCCTGCCAACGCGGGCGCAGCTTTTTTCCGAGGGGTTACCGGAATTGGCGTCGCATTGGCCGAGCTTAAAATAGGTTTTTTTTTTTCAAAAATTTCAGCATTTCTTTGTTAATAGTGTAGGTTTGTAACGACAAACAATTCTAATGAAATATTTCATTTTTTATAAGACAAAAAAAGTTTTGAAAAAATGCTGTTTTTTACACTAGGAAACCCTTGTAACTCCTTAATTATAATGAGAAATAATCCTAAAAATTCAGTTTATTATTATTTAAATAAATATTTTAACGTACTTCACCTGCAAATGGATACTTAAGCAATAGAAAATCAGCAGATACTAGAAGCTTCGATGAAATTATATACGTTTCTAGAGCTTTAGAAATATGCAAAACCAAAAAAAACTAAAATCAAATAGAAAACCAATTTCATATATTATACATGTTGACCCTTTTCAAATTCATTTGAATAAGCGCAGATATGGTACTTTGCGTTCCCGCTCCAGTTTTATAACTTTTTTTTCAAATTAATCTCATTATGAATTCTTGGATACTTATATATATGTGTGTATATTCAGCATGAGGATGTGTCCTATATGCATATTATTCACGCTAAACATTTACATGATACTCATTAGGGCGAAATCTCATATAGAAAAGTGATTTTTTTTTTTTTTGAATTTCTTATACAATATTAGCTTAAATAATTATTTAAGTTTTGCTGAGTGAATGACATGCTGCTTCTTTGTTATTAGTAAATAAATTATGAAGCGAAATTTTTCACAAAGAAAATGAAGAAATTATCCAATGAATGAAATAATGTATGGAGGGTTGCCTCACTCTTGTTATTTTGAACTGATGAACTCATTGAAAGTCGTTTCAGAACGCAAGGTTATAAAGAAGAATCAAAAATTTTCATAAACCCAACCAAAAATCTATTACAAAATAAAAATAATAATACAATATATGAACTGCTTTAGTAATTTCACTTATTAAGGGATAGTCTCAGGGTGTAATTTTAGAAAAATCGATTATTTTTATTGCATTACCGGATAGTATGCACAGTTCCAATTTGGAGAGAAAAATTTTAACAGCATTTTCTATTGCGCTATTGTAGCTTTTTTTGGAAATCTTCTTATTTTGTTCAACGAAGAACTGTCGCCGAAAAGTCCCCAAATTGATAGTTTTAGTTATAACCGACGCCATTTTGTCGAATTTCAAAAAAAAAGCTTTCCTATAGATTAATAATTTATCCAGCGTTTATAATTTTATTATGATTTAAATGATCTCATAATTTTCCACAATAAGTGCATAAAACAGTATATCAATACTCCACTTGTCATAAATTTACTCCACAATTACAGCGCCACTGTATGTATTTAGCAGTGACAACTACCTTTGTTTGGTTTATTTCACCATACCATATCTCATTTAGCTGCGTATAAATTACAAAACTAGAATTATAAGTAAAGTTTGTGTATTTTTTTAGATATTTTGTGCACTCTGTGCTGTAATCCTATACCCTCAAAGTAGTTTGTGCTCAAAATACTGGTGGTGTACATTAATGTCGTAAGCATCGGTGGTTCAGTGGTAGAATGCTCGCCTGCCACGCGGGCGGCCCGGGTTCGATTCCCGGCCGATGCAAATTACTTTTTGAATATTGGCTAAATTTTTATTCCATTCAACTTCAAAAAAATTAAAAAAAAAAAAATTTTATATAGTAATATGCATTTTGTACTTAAGAATAGTAAACATATATTTTAAATACTATATATTATCGTTACATATTATATAACATAAAATAATTCAATTATTATTTCAGAAAGTCAGCGATATTTGTATGGACTTTTAGATTAAGTTTAGCTACTATTCTTTCAAATGTTGTTTTTTTACCGCATACTCAAATAATATTATCGTTTTTTATTTCAGTGTCTTCGCACGGTGAACTACAAACAGAAAACGTATGTATTATATATGTATGATATACATACGTTCTCTGCTGCAAGGTCTCTGGTAAGTAAACATGTCACTTACTTGTCACACCATATTTATATATTTGCTACTATTTTGACTACCAATGTTATATATTTTTTTGCATTTAATCATTTTGGGTAAATTATATTAAAATTGCTCAAATACCCTTAGACTTTTCGAAACCATTTGTGTAGTACGATTTGTCTTTTGCTTGAAAATAGGCCTCAGTGTCGCCACCTTCAATCGACCAAAACTTCTTCCCAGCGAGCATTCTTTTGAGAAGCTTGGAGAAGAGGAAACCGAATCCCGTCGTTTTTTTCCTCAAAAGTTAGGTCGCGCGGCACCTACTTTATACAGAGTTATAGGAGCTTTCCCAAATATTTGTGAACACTCTTTTGATATCTTTGGAGACCCTGCTATCTCGAACAATTTCACTTTAGGTCTTTCAAAAATATTTTGTGGACTTTCTTGATGGTTTGTTTGAGTAACAACCTCTTTAGGGCGTCCATCAAAATTTGTGGCTATCAAATTTTTTCTATCTTTCTATCGTGGTGTTTGGAGAATTATTTTCAGATAACCACTTTTTGAGTCTCGCAGACTTTGAGGCCAATAACTTGAGAACTATTGTAGAAAATATAATATCTGGAAACTTTTACAGTTAGCACAGTATTTGATAATTTACCCTCTTAATTTTTTTTTTTAACTTACCACTTTGCCAACACTTCTCCTTTTTAAGTCTAAGCTCCCGGTTTCGGATTTAGACAATTTTAGTTTAATTTAAAAATTTAGTTTTCTATTTTTTAGATGTGGTTCAAATTTAATTATAGAAAATTTGTTTAATAAAGATCGCGTGAGGGATGTATTGATGTGCTAGGAATGTGTGGTGTTCTCTTGTGTGGGTTCTGTTGGTATGGTGTATTGAAGTGTGACAGTGTTGTGACATTGTTTACAGCTGCATGGATGTGGTGGCTTTAGGGGGAGGTTTGTCTCATTTAGCCAGGCAGAGATTTATAGTTTAAGGGTTGTGGTGCTATATTAATTTAAAGACTTTTCAGGGCATATAGTAAATATCATCTTCTTATAGTCTATACTCAACCCAACATCTGGTACATAAATAAAAAATAATAATATATTTTTACTAATTGTTAACTTTATTATAATTCACTGATTTTTATGTTCGAAAAATTCTTCATATAATTTGATGCTACACATACTAATACATACCTCTATACATATCTATTACAAAGTACATTTGTGTTTAATATTACCATTCCTACATTTTTTAATAAAAATTTTCAAACAATTATTAATTTTAATATGCAAATGTTTGCTAGAACTAAAGAGTTCGCAAAAATCAAAATTGTCAATTCAAGAAAGATCCAATAATATTTTGAAAATTTAAGTTCTAATAGCAAAATGAACACCTCGAAATATTTGGAAACAAATTATTTAATTATCATTACTTAAAAGTTAGTTAATAATATTGATGGTAAAGTAATTTTCAAAACAACTAATATTTTTTTAGCTACTAATTTAAGCAAGTAACTTATGGGTACAGAACTATAGCTGGTACTTAAACATGTTGGCAGAGTTGCCATATCTTAATAATGTAATTTTAACATGCAACACCTTTCGGTTAAAACTCACTTATACACATAAACCTAACCTAAAAATGTGCGCGAATTGAGTAGTATTAAAATTTGAAAATGATTAACTAATTCGATTTAAAAAAAGTGTAGAGTTTTTTCATAACTTAGCCACTTACGAGTCTAAGTAGATTACTTATTTGACTTAAGTCTAATGTAATGTTAAGAGCTACTGTTGGGTTTCGTTGTCATTTTGAGCTCCACAAAAATCCTAAAATGCTTATGGCTTACACCTGCAGACGCAACACGATGGAAAGAGGAACCAGTCCATGAAGATGCCCTTGCAATCATTGTCCGGATCATAGGCTAGAAGACGATGCCATTTATACTTTTGCTCACAACCGCAGTCGCGATCACAGCGCGATGTTGCTGGCGTGCTAAATGAGAAATCAAAATTAGCTGTCTAACTAATAACGGGTTAAGAAAAAAAGTTAGAGTTAGAAAAATCGAAAACTTACGTGCAAACCTCCTGATGTATGGCCTGCTCAAAGTGCTGTGTATTGACAATGGCGCGTATTTTACCCGCCGAATTGGAGGCCCAATAAGGCGTGACGATCTCTACCTTAGACTCGCAAGCGTCCACTCTTTAAAAGTTTGTGTTAATATTTGCTTTAATTTTTTTTTTTTAAGAAATCGTCATTGCACTGCTTACCTTCCCGTATTCTGTCCCGCATTCGCAAACGTGTTCGTGCTCGCTTTATTCGCATTCCGATTCGCCTGTCGCTTGTTACGCAACTTGCCGAAGTAACTTTCGCCAGCTTCCTCAGCATGTGGTTCTGTGCTGCCCTCGTCATCTGGTACCACTGCCGGAAATGCGCCTGGTGGTATGAAGATGTCGGGATCATCAATAAATCTTCGCTTGCGTTTCTTTGTTTGTGATTGTGGTCCGCCGGGCTCGAGATTCATCTCAAAGTCACCATACATTCGTCGCATCAGTGCCTTGTTGTCATCGATGAAGCGTTCTATTTTATCACTGCAATAAGAAGAGTGCCAGGGAAATGTGATTAACGCAAAAGTGATTTTAGTGATTTCGTAAAGTTTTAGGTCATCATAGGTTTAATTAGGTAAATATGTTGATTTTTCGTAAGGCCAAGAATAATCCCACTTGGGCAACTAGAAATCTCTTGTCTCTATGGCAACCGATATGTTGCAACCTTAGTTTGGCGAAGTCTGAATAATGAAGAAGAAAGTGTCGAGATCTAATGCACGAAAAGAGAAACCCCTGGTCGTTCCCATTCTGACGAGATTTGGTCACCCTTATTCTTACAATATGATTGGTTTTACTGTTACCGACGATGCCATTAAGGCGTCATGCTTTTCTTCACCAGTTTTGAGCTCATTGTCTGCGAAGAATTCTGGATGTCTCTCCATGAGAGTGGTACCAATGATAACCGCTCGTTAAACACGAAAAATACATCATAGAACAGTATTGCCTTAACCACGGTTTTTTAAAGCCAAATATTGGTGAGAGCGGTGGGTTTGCTTCTTTATAGCTTCTTTACAATAATGTAAGACAACCACCCCTTTCCATGACTACGTAATCGGAACGGACCGGGATTTTTTGCCGACCAAGGACCCTCAACTCGACAGAATTCTGTCGCTACAACAACAATAACACAATCAATGCCTTTTTCACCCTCTCAGCAACATGGAGATTCCATGGTAACTTTCTATTAAGGATGACACTCAATTCCTTCACCTGTCCGATAGGGTGAAGTCGAGAGTCCTCCTCCTGGCATAGAAAACGAATTTAGTATTTTTTGGATTGACCTTTCTTTCAGAGTAACTAGCTAATATATGAAGGGGTTAACTCGTTAACGGTATCTAGGAATCTTCATTAAGCTATGAAACCAACATCATTTGTATACATTATCATCCGACAGCTTTGTCTCTAGAATTCTCTAAATGAATCATCCTTGGGGGGTGCCTCTATTGATCTTTCTTCCTGAAGCCTTCCGAGGGGCACTTCTTCAATGGTTAGGTTCATTGGAAAGATTATAATTATAAGACTACTCACTGCTCTAAGTCCCGTCACCATTTTCATTTTTAACCAAATCTAGATAGTCATAGCGTCAAAGCAAAAAGGAAACTACGGTGGGATCTCTCTCTCTACAGAAGTCCAAGTTCTAAGTGATTTGTCTAATTTTAGGCAACCGTCGATAAGGTTCTAAACCTGATACCTTTATAACGTATATGAAATATCAATTATAAAAATGAAGACACGTACACATTTTCCAGGTACTTCTAGTAATAGTAGTAACCAAATAGTAACAACCGAAACTACAGTTACAATTGTCAAATACTAAGACGATGTATCAACGTAATAACAACTTGAGTTGGTGTGTGCTCACACCTTTCGTTTCACTCATCTGTCATAATAATCTCGTAAATGCATGTATCTACCTCAATCGCAATGGAATCTCATTGACGAAACACATTTCTTACTATTGATGCATATATTATAAATATGCCATTACTCATTCATTCATTAATTGTTTACATTGCAAATCTTTTTGCGCGGGTTTACAAGTTGTAAATGCACTCGTCTCGAGTAGTAAATGCAAAGAACATTTTTTCTAATTATTTGCCACGACTTTTTCGACGTTTGTGCCCCCGCAGTGAACTTGACTATTATTTGTGTGTATTTTTTTATATCATGTTTCATACAAATGTTCTTTTCCAAGACGAAGGCGTTAGAGAATTACATACGTATGTAGACATGCATAGCTTTTCACTTCTCAGACACTTCCGAAAACCATTAAGTGATAGATGGGTGCGATTAAATATTTTATGCCGTAAATTTTCTTATGACAAATCAATGGAGTTACTCTTAGTGGGCATATTAGCATTTATTGTAGTTGGGTTCAAATCAAGAGAACCTGGGAGATAAAAAAATACCGACATTTTTGAGCCAGTGACTTCTTTGATTCTTATGAATTTGAAAGCCGCGCGTAATATGTGAATATAAGACTTCAGTCTAACTTAATTGGTGTTGATTACGTTGATCCGACTGTCGTGAGAACGAACTGTTTCTTATACATCAGCCCTCTGAATCAATGAGCGAACGAAGAAATCATTCTCACTTCTTCTTTTATTTTTATTGGCATAGACACCGCTTACCCGGTTATAGCCGAGTTAACAACAGCGCGCCGGTCGTTCTACCTTTCCGCTATTATAGACATTTCGAGATACCAAGTGCAGCCATGTTCTTCTCCAACGTATTGGAGGTTTTTCTCTGCTTCCACCGATAGGTACTAAATCCAAAACATTCAATGTAGGACTTGTAGAGTTTGGTCTTTGTTCGTCGAAAGGGGACTTTACCTCTCAATTGTTTACTCAGTCCAAAGTAGCATCCGTTGGCATGTATATTTCACAAGCTATGTAGCACGATGAAAATCTAGTTGATAGAAGATTTTCCAGGTCTAAAGCCACACTGATAAGGTCCAATCAGTTTGTTGACGATGGGCTCCAATATTTCACACACCACGCTCGATAACAACTTATATGGAATAGTAAAAATGAGGAGGCACAGATTGTGGGTTCTCCCTTTTTATTAATTGGACAGACGACACTTAGGTTCCAATCAGCGGGCATTCTTTCATCCGAACTAGTCAGTTTTTGGTTGCCGTATTTGAATAGCTCGGTCGATAATACATCGGCCCCTGCTCCTTTGTTGTTTCTCAGGCAGGTAATTGCTATTCGAACCTCATCATAGTCGGATAAAGGAACATCTATTCCATCGTCTTCGATGAGGGAATCGGGTTCGCCATCTCCAGCTGTTAAAATTTCGCTGTCGTCTCTTCATAACTTCAGTATTCATTGAACTCTCCGGATCCACTGATTCATTGTGGGTGGCGCTTGTGCCTTTTAAGGTCGTAGCACTCATTTAACGGAATTTCAACGGAAGCGAAAGTAAAACTCAAAGCAAAAACAAAATGCTAATCTGACGCACTTAAATATTACAAATGTGTTTTATATTTATTTATAAATATGCCTTTCGATTTGTTGTGGCTACTATTTAAAGCAGCCTCAAAACGAGTTATGAGCGAGAACTGTCACGGGAATACGTTTTTTTTTTTTTTAATTTATTGGTATTGTTGATATACATATATGTATATTAATCACGAAAAAATAATAAAATTCAAATAACTGTAGAATCTCCTTTTTGGAACTGCATTAGCAAATAAATTTGAACGCGAAAGAAAGGAATTTGAAATTCTGGTTTTTTAATATTTATACCAATTTACCTATAAACAGCTCATAAATTAAGCAAATAATTGCATAACTTATTTATATGGTGAATTTCGCTAAAAGCTCACCTAAGTATTTGCTATATCATTTTTTATTGTCAAAAAACGGATTTATGAGCATTCGCGTGCGACCTTGCACCCAGTCATAAACTCGCTAATGTTTTGAAACCAACTAGAAGTTGTTACTATGAAAAATAAAGTTATTAGTTGACTAACGAATAGTTTTCGATTAGTTCCTCAGCAAGAACGAACATGACATCATACCATGTAACCGAAAACTGAGACTTCGAAGAAGTTGGCCATTCTGAAAGAAAAATGAACCGTAGGCCATCAGTAATAGTCACGGATGAATCAAACAGTGTGGCAAGAATACTTTCTATATCAAACCGTAACAGGCAGCTGGGTAATGGGTTAACATCTTAGGTCTAGAAGCATCACTAATCTAGGGCGTGTCACCACAAACCTTTCGGGTAGTGTTTTTGGTCAAAACTGTAATATTTTTAGGAAGCAAAGAATTTGGTGTTATGGTAGATGTCAACTTTGAGAAGTTTTGTTATAAAGGGTAATCCATTTCGAGGATTTTTATTGGAGAATGTTTATTATTTTCGAAGGGACATTCTTTGATATTAATTTTTTGAAGATTACCTCTTTCGCATTTTGGCCGCGACTACATATTATATGGTCTATTCGTTGAGTGCAATATTGGATGACTCGAGCATTTCGACTGGTAACTGGCGAATGACACACATGATGTTTTGCTCCAAGACCTGAGTCGAAGCGGAATTGGCCGCATAGACTTTACATATCCCCATATGAAAAAGTCTAACGGTGTCATCTTGGTAACCAATCGACCGGCCCAAAATGTGAAATTATTTGCTCACCGAAGTGTTCTCTCAATAAATCCATTGATTGATGTGATGTTTGTTTGGAAGTGGTGCCATTTTATTGAAACCAAATGTTGCCGAGATCACAAGCGTTAATTTCAGGCATCAAATAATCAGCTATTATGGCACGATAACGGTCGCCATTGATGGTTACGTTCTGTAGGCAACCGAACCGAACCAATGATGATTCCATCAGCTTACAAACCTCACCCAAGCGTTGTGTTTTTTTTTTTTTGATGAAATGACAGCTCTTGAATCTCTTCAGGTTGCTCTTCATCACAGATGCGGCAATTTTGCTTGTTTACATACCCATTGAGCCAGAAATAGGTCTCATCGCTCAACAAAATGTGACTCGAAAACATCGGATCTTCTTGGAACTTTTCAAGAGCCCATAGAGCGAAACGATGTCGCTTAGAAAGGTCGAGCGGCTTCAGTTCTTACACAATCTATATTTTGTACATTTTCAAATTAATATCTCGGCATAAGAGGCGCTAAGTCGTTCCATATGTCACTGCGAGTTGCGGCTAACGGCGTCGAATCGACTCTCCACGGTCTTCGAATACACTCTCAGCTATGGCTGCTATATTTTGTTCACTGCGTGCTGGACGTGGTCTATTAGGTCGAAACAAAAATGAATACTGGGTCTCAAGATGTGTGAGGGTATTTCAAATGGTACGTATAGAGGACGATTATTTTGACCATAAGTTGAGCAAAGCGCGCGAAACACATTATTTACAGAACGTGAAATTTCGTAAAAAAGTTGAACGATTTGTAAACTTGGTTTAGGACCCACGCGTGATCTGTCCAAAAAGGCTATTGAAAAAACTACTTCTACTTAGATCAGCTGTTATAATTGTAATACTCTTCTCAGGTGCATTTCTCTTAACACAAAAGGGTATAAAAATATCTTTATCATGATTTTGATAGCTCAGTTTGTATGGGAGCTATAGAGGTTCGGAAAAATTAGCAGCTTCTTGGAGTAAAATTATCGATATCTTAAATATAAGCTATATCATGAAAACTAGAGCTGAAAGAGACAAAATGATTACAGATTTCAATTCACCGCACCCAAATTAAAAAGAATCAGTTGATAAATTCAAAGAAGCAAATCGAGTGTTGGCCTGTGTTATTGATAAATATATTTTGCGGGGTCTCCGATGTTTCCTACAGAGTGTTTCAAAGTACGTGGCAAACTTAAAATAAAAAATTGATTTGTGATTATATTTGATCAAGCAAATGAGTATTCACGTCGTCAGACCAAAACTATTCAAATAAAAAACTATTCAACTCAAAACTCAATTAAAAAAAAATTTAATCAATTTAAAAAAATAATTATAAAACGCAAGCAAATAAAACATAATTAATTACGCTTGACTTCTTAATAAACAATAATTACGGTTAATAATTTTTTTTCGGAAAATTTCGAGAGAAGTAGGTTACATTTCAGTTTGCACTTCATTGGCTTAAATTGAGTGTGACTAATTGTTTCTTTAGTTTTTTCTTTTTTCCGCTTTTTCTCTTTTTTTCTTTATGTATTTGTTGACTTCTTGCTTTATTTATTTTTTATTAATTTTTTTTAATGAAAAATTTGTACTACATATTCATTTGAGTAACTTGGAACAAGACACAACAGAATACACACAAACCATATAAAATAAAAAAAAAAAAATCATTTTGTCTTGCATGCAAATTTTTAATTGTCCACCATCAAATACGAAATTTTAATTTTCTCATAATTACAGCCAGCAGGTTAATGATAAAATTTTAAGGTTAGGGTTAAAGTAAAAATTAAAGAAAAAATCAAAATTCTCTATATGTATGTAAATGAAAAATACTGTTGAAAAATCCGCCGGCGCGCTAATTTGTGATAATCAACGCAAATGAGCTCAAACGCCAATTGATTGGTTGTTTGCCGCCTTAAAAGGCGATAAGCGTAAACGGCTTACAAACCTAAACAATCACTCTCATACATACACACACATTTATAAGCATTTTGCTACTTACATTGGATAGCTGTTGCCCGCCGTCGGACAGAATAATTGATGGTAACGTTTGATGCATGGCACACCTTTGATTATATCACCGCGCACATCTAGACCCAAGGCAACAGACAATGCAGTCCACCAGATCTGAAAAAAAAGCGTAAAGTGAAGGAATGATATTATTAAAATGAAGCAATATTTTGGAAAATCTAAAAATTAATTTAAAACAAGTAAGGAAGAGCTAAGTTCGGGTACAACCGAACATTTTATACTCTTTCGACTTGCAGGAATCAAGGCCAGGGAAATATTTAAAGATGTAAAACGTCAACCAGAGGATCGGAATCTAAGCAATTTTTTATGTACATATACTATATATATATTACTCATATACTGACCGACATATTCGGTATAAGGTTTGTTAGAAAAACGATTATCATTATACCATACATACATATGTAATATATGGGAATTAGGGGCAGTATCGATCGGATTTTATCTAATTTTGCCAATACCGCATACTATTAACTTGTCACATACTAATTAAATATTCTCCAAGATTCCTTAAGGTACCACACATACCATCACCAATCATATGGAGTAAAGTCAGCCAGATTTTCGTAGATTTTGATATTAGTTTTATGGGGGCTAGGTCAAGTTTTCGCCCAATTTCAGACTATTATATTTAAAACTCGAACCTTCATTTTCATTCAGATAACTCACATATTGGCTGATATATGCCGTATAAAGTCACCCGGAAGTTCGAAAATATTTATATTAGGTATATGGGGGCTCAGAGAAATATTGACCCGATACAATTAATACTTTATATACAGAGTAACTATTGCCAGGTAATTATTCTCTCTATCCTCTGTATATCCTCTACATTGACCGATATTTTTGGTCACATGTCAACAATATATACTGGATTCCACTGGTTGTAGTCCGATTTGGTTAAATTTTCTCACTGTGACATAGGAATATGAGAAGAATGCCACGTGCTAAATTTAGTCGAAAACAGTCGTTCGAGTTCAGAGATGAATGATTTCATCAAAAAGTGGGCGGTGTCACCCCCATCGTCCAATTATCACACTGGCTTCCCTAAAGGCCTTTTCAACCATTTCGGAAGTAAAATTTAATATCTGTGGCGTATTGAGTTATTAATATATTGCGTTTTCAGTAGTCATTAACCGTTACCGTTATGTGGGAAGTGAGTGGTGTTATCATCCGATTTCATTAATTTTCACACTGTCGGTAGAAGTTCTTATAAGATTTGTACTCAGCAAATTTGATTATTGTAGCTTAAACGGTTTGGAAGATATGTATGTACATTAAACTTATTAGAGGGCCACGCCCACTTTTCATAAATTTTTGCCCACAAGTGTGCTCTCCTACTGCGATCCCCTGTGCCAAATATGAGTTTTATATCTTAATTAGGTGCTTAGTTATGGTACTTTATATGTTTTCGGTCAATGGCTTATGTGAGCGAGGCTAATTACGCTAATCTACAAAGTCGTACTTTTTTCATGATGATATTATAAAACTTTTCTCCACAAATTTTAACACTAGATCTCACAGAATGACTGATATGTTCGATACAGAATCAGCTTTGGGATTCTTGAAAAGCTATAGCTCGATTTCGACAGGTTTTGGGCGTTAGATGATGGCAATAGACCGGTCCAACTTATTTGTAGTACTAACCACCTTGGGCGCTAAGGAAGTTCGCAGACGAACAGACGGACGGACAGACCGTCAAAGGGAAATTGGCATGGTCATCGATTTTTTCATTATATGTTCTTCTGATCAGCTGGACATAAATGATAAGAAATATCTTTAGTAAAAGTTTAGTTTCTACATTTAAATTCGAATTACTTTTGCGTGTAGATTGACATCACGACATGTTTATAAAGCATTCTAAATTTGTATACACACATTCATACATATATATTATATATTTAAGTATATTAATATGCTCTATCAGCATTTGTTTGGACTCTATACGTTTGTTTAAAAATAAATATTTATAAACATGTTTTGCTATATATTTTATTATTTTTTTCTAATTAAGTATATTTTTCATTTTTATGACTTCTTTTCACACTACACTAACGTAGGTAAGAGTTTTTGGTTACAATTCGAGCGTGAGCATCGGTGGTTCAGTGGTAGAATGCTCGCCTGCCACGCGGGCGGCCCGGGTTCGATTCCCGGCCGATGCAAGTTGCTTTTTTGATAATATCATATTTTATGTTATATTAACAGGTGATCCAAATAGAGCCATTATTTTCAACAGATCATACGTGAGTCGTGTCAAGCTGTCATGTTATTTTGCTTTCAGTATTGTTTGCCATTTAATCATGGAAAAACTTACGCCTGAACAATGTTTACAACTTGTTCAACTTTTTTACGAAAATTAACGTAAAGAATGTGTTTCGCTAACTTCGCTCTATTTATGGTCAACATAGGCGGCCTACTGAGCGTACTATTCCCAACTCCATCAACCACCTTGAGACCCAGCATTCATTATTGGATAAAATTCCAACGAATAGACTATGTTCACCATACAGTGAAGAAAATATAACAGCCGCATCTGAGAGAACACACGAAGACCGTGGAGTGTCCCAGGCCGTTCGCATCAACTCGGACTGAATCGTAGAAAATACAGCTTGTGCAAAAACTGAAGCCGCTCGACTTTCCCAAGCGACATCGCTTTGCTCTATGAACTCTTGAAAAGTTTCAAGAAGATCCGATGTTTTCGAGTCACATTTTGTTGAGCGATGAGGCCCATTTCTGGCTCAATGGGTATGTAAACAAGCAAAATTGTCGCATTTGGAATGAAAAGCAACCTGAGGAGATTCAAGAGCTGCCATTTCATCCAGAAAAAGCTACGGTCTGATGGGGTTTGTGCGCCGTTGGAGTCATCAGTCCAAATTTCTTCAAAAGTGATGCCGATGAGTACGTAGCCGTTGAGGACGACTTTCATCGACTTTTTTCACATCCCATAAATCAACGGATTTATTGAGAGAAAACCTTAGTGAGCAGATAATTTCACGTCTTGACCGGTCGATTGGCCACCAAGATCCTGTAATCTCACTTTTCCCTGTAATGATATGTAAGGTCAAAAGTCGAAGCATCAGGCCTTGGATCATAGCATCACGCGAGTCTTTCGTCAGTTACCAGACTAAATGCTCGAGCGAGTTATCGAAAAATGGAATCAACGGATAGACCACCTGAGATGTAGCCGCGGCCAACATTTGAAAGAAATACTCTTCAAAAATACAAAGAATGTTCTTTCGATTGTATAATCTTTATTAATAAAGTGAAAGTTTCATTCCAAAAGCATGTCCAAAATTTAAATGAAATACTATTGAAATTATCTTCCTCAAGTACCGAGTTAATGGGGTCATTTTCGTCAAAAGTACAAATTTCATTGCTTTACCTAATTAAATTGACTATAAATTATTAGCTCTGGCAAAAAGCTTGTTTACCGAAATTTAAGCTCTTCTTATGCGTTACATACCATTTCAGGTTTTGATAGATCAACTATTTGTAAACTCGCAGTTTTCTTAAAAGAAATACAAAAAACTTACTTATGCATCGGCCGGGAATCGAACCCGGGCCGCCCGCGTGGCAGGCGAGCATTCTACCACTGAACCACCGATGCTTCATATCTGTACCTTCTCTCCACTTTAGTCGGTGCAGCATTTCTAAGCGCATCTTCTCTAATAATATTATCAGCAGTGCTTAAGATGAGCTTGAAAAACTGGATTTGGCTGCTGCCGGCTCCACAAATATACCTACAAACGGGATGCTGCTGGAGATATTGCATAGATGCTTTTATATACATACATATGTATGTATATAGAGGCTAGCATATTGCAGTCGTCAGTACTACTTCGTGCTATCACTTTATAACACTATAATATAATATATTGTGGACAAACCACTTCTTATCACTGATAAAGTAAATATATATTTGATTGTGTTTGTATGCATCAGGTAAATAGTTATGACTTGCAAAAGTCACCAAACAATAATTAATCAAACTGTCAGTTGACCAAAATTACTTGATAAGTTTGACTGCACATAGGCGTTAAGATTTTGCATTCCTTCGAAGCAAATGAAGTGGTACATTATGGCTGGTGGACCACGAGTGAGCGTGATGAGAATTGATCAACTTTGAGTATGTGATCGGACTCAAGTTCCTTCTGGACCAGCGTTATCGCGAAAGATCTATGGCCTGAATCTCCGGAAAGTTAGGCTATACCCAATTGTGGGATTGCGCACCAGAAAATTTTCGGATATTCGCTTAGTTCAGTTTAGATTTAAAGAAATTACAGCTATTGTAGAGTCGTTCTAAATAGATAGATGCATTGRAATTTAAGGAAATCACTGTGATCGGTGGTCTATTGTGTCCTGTTTTCACTTTGTTTAAAGCACCCAGATCAAGAAGATTAAGTAAAGCCCCGGTAACACATTCTTCTTACGATTGTTGGGGCAATCAGTTAGTATATCCGATGTTGTCGCCGCTCATTGGCCACAGAAGCGACACATATCTATGGAACAGTAAGAAGATGACACCATAGCCTACCTTGACTTTTATAAAATTTCCCAAACTGCCTTAATTTGTTTCTGAGAAGAACAATTAGTTTCTTGAACAATTTTGTATCGAACTCCGCAGATACAGTCTCTACTGTCGAAGCCCAGGCACTTGTTGCCTGTTGCACTATTCGGTAGAATTTTCGCACCGTGTACATATTGTGAATAAAAAAAAACAACGTAATATGCGACAGAAAATTTCACTGTTAAGAGAGTGTGCTTCTTATACTGACACAAGAGAGACAAGTCAAGTTTTTTGTTCTTACCATTCTTATCGTTCGTTTGGAAATGGATAAAGCTTGTAACACCCAGTCGGAAGTGTGATGAGCTGAGTCGATTTAACCATGTCCGTTTTTCATTTATCTCATCCGTCGATATCGGACCATTTTAGGAAAACTGATCGGTGAGAATAAAGTCCTCGTTTGGGAACCTTTTTTATTTTACAAGATATCTCAACGAATTTTGATATATAACTCACCATAATGTCATAACATTCTATGCTATAAGAAATGTTTCTGTGAAGAGTATTATAAGACAAGTGATTTTTTTTCTTG